TGACTGGCAAGTTATTGAGTCTCTATAAGTCTCTATGTTTCTGAGCCTCAGTTTCCTGATCTGTAAAATGGGGCTCATACCACCTGCCTCCTAAGGCTCTTGTGAGACTAAATGAGGTATGTGACCATGGGAGTACCCAGAGCTGTGCCTGACACATAGGTGCTCAGGACTTGTGAGCTCCCCTTCCCAGTGTGGACACAGATCCTGTCATCAGGCTGTGTGTCCAGGGACACGCAGCAGACATCTGGGCCCCGGCCATGTTCCAGGAATGGCATGGGAATGGTGTTTGTGTGCCAGCACTTGATGCTCTTGCCGGCTGCTTGATCGGACCTGTTGCTTCTTTATACCTGCCACTCCTGATGACTCAGAGATGGTTCTCTCCATTTTTCACTTGAGGAAACCAAAATTCACTAACGTGAGGTGAAGTTAGTTGCCCAAGCTCCCCTGGGGGGTTGGAGGCCAGGTTGGACCCTCAGCCGCTCCGACCAGGGTGCTGGCAGCAACAGAGAGCCCACTGACATGCTGCGGGGCTATGGGTCCTGCTCGCCGCACCTGCTCCCCTCGGTGTCCTCACTTCTCACCCTCCTCCCAACGCAAGAGCCACAGCCCTCTGAGCCAGGTTGATCCCACAGGTTGCCCCTCAGGCTACTGTGTGAGAGCATGAAGAGGCAGATCGTGTCCCGGGCCTTCTACGGCTGTGAGTGTGGGGTGAGGTGGGGCCATGGGAGGCAGGGGCAGGGGGAGGCGTCCTGGTCATGGCCCCCCTGGCTCACCCCTCCACCCCCAGGGCTGGCATACTGCCGCCACCTGTCCACGGTGCGGACCCACCTGTCAGCGCTGGTGCATCACAACATCATCCCGCCCGCCCGCCCCCCAGGGGCCTCAGGGGGCCTCACCAAGGACGTGTGGAGCAAGTATCAGAAGGATGAAAAGGTACACACTCTGGGGGCCGGGGCCAGGGCCGGGTCAGGGGCGGAGGCGGGCAGCGATGGGTGCAGAGTGTCTGCTCTGGGCACAGCTGTCACAGGACCACTGGGCATACAGGTGAATCACAGCTGTGGTCGGGCTGACAGGCCTAGACTGATGGCCTTGGAGTGACCAGGTCATGGCGGACTCTCAGACAGCGGGGGCTGTGGGTTTCCCTGGGAAGGGCACTGGGCGGGGAGTCCGTTCTGCTCCCCCATTACCCCACAGCCTTGGGCAGATCTCTGCACCTCTCTGGGCTTCGCTTCTTCCCTGGAAGGAGGGGGGTGAAGTAGGTCCCAGCCAGCTCTGATGTGGGGTGGGGGGATGCGACTGCCCAACGCAGGGCCCCCCTGGGCTTCAGTGGTGACCCAGTCAGTTCCCAGCCCCAGCTCTCCCTGGGGTGGGTCACCTGGAGGGTGACTGCGGGGACTGCAGTCTCCGCTCCCTGGTCCCTCAGAACTACAAGGAGCTGGAGCTGCTGCGGCAGGTTTACTATGGAGGCGTGGAGCACGACATCCGCAAGGACGTCTGGCCCTTTCTGCTTGGCCACTACAAGTTTGGCATGAGCAAGAAGGAGATGGAGCAGGTAAGGGGAGCCTTTCCCGTGGGGTAGGGGGATGGGGAGTCGGGCCAAGGGACCCATCCAAGCTCAGTGGAAAGAAACATGGCAGGGGAGTGTTCACAGAGACACCCCACTGTCCTCGCTGCTGGGGCCCAGCCTCGTCCTCAGCTGTCCCAGCTCCTGCAGAGGAGGCCTGGGCACCCCTCCCCCATGGTCACGGTGTGTCCGAGTCCAGGTGGACGCAGTGGTGGCAGCGAGGTACCAGCGGGTGCTGGCGGAGTGGAAGGCCTGCGAGGTGGTGGTGAGGCAGCGGGAGCG